CAATCATTGGTTGACCTTCCCTTGAACCAGTCACGGAGCTCTCAACTGAGTTGTTTAGGTTCTTTAGTTCCGCAAAACTAAGAAAATGTCCCGGGAGTAAATTTTTCAACATAGTACATTGCTTTTAATAATCTTATTTTATATTAAGAGTGATTATACACTATAGTAAAGAGTGTAATTTTGGAAGATTAAAAATGATGAGCCTCCTCATGAGGCCCACTAATTTACTAATCATAACATACAACTTTCATTGAGTTTCACATGCTTCTAGATTACAATCTATTTAGTGAATCAAATTAACGTTTTGGTATTAAGTTTTTTTCTCTTCTTTTTATATTGTGTGTCAGTCAAGTAGGTTCACATAAATTAAATCAAATCGGAGAGAGTATTCAGTTTATAGCTGTTTTTTGCAATGTACATAATTTACTTGAATGGTTATGCAAAAGTTGATGCATTTGTGCAACAAATAGCTTATGGCTCTTCTCTATTTTATTAACTAGTCTTAGGGTACTCACTTCATACATATACCCATATTAATGAATATATAATTTTAAAAAATTATATAAGTTATATTTAAATAATATCTTTGAGTTATAAAATAAAAAATAAAAATAGTGTAAGTTCATGAAAATAATATATGTTGATTCCATTTAGCTAACTTAATAAAGGAAATCTTTCTCAACATAAATCCTAAGATGCCTTTTTGTGATTTCTAAAGACTTCTGTGGAAATATCTTATGAAATTTATTGTTATTTTTGTAACCTAATACTAAAAGAAAGTATTTATACATAAATACTTTTATCAAAATTCTTTAAAGATTTATTAATTAACACCTATTTAAAAATTAAATCTTTAGCTCTTTAGAGATTTGGGAATGAAGAAATTGCCCTATAGTTTAAAAATATTTCTTAACGATAGTGTATAGTATAAAGATGACTAATGTTGAGTTGATATTTTACGATAAATAACTTAGTAATATATTAAAAAGACATAGATGTGCTGGGATGGATGAAAAAGAAAGAAAAATAATTAATAAAAGCTCATTTAGAACACTGCAAAAAATTATACATAGATTATAATGTAGTGATTAGATAATATTGAAATTATTTATTGGATATAATTATTTAGGTAGATGTTTGAGTCATTGGATTAAAATAAGAATATACAGAGTATAATATAAACATTTGTTTGATCTTATCATATGTAAACTTGAATAAATTTTTATTTTTAATTTAACCTTGGACTTTTTATCTCAAGATTGTTATCCTTCAATATTGTCCTCATGATTATTTTTAAACATTTTTTAATATTATCTTATCTGTTTTTTAAATTATTGAGAGTAGTTACAAGTACTAAACATATAATCGATGAAGAGAAAATACTTAGTTATTTGTTCATTTAGTATAGTTTCCAAATATTATTCAAACGATGAAAAAAATATTACTATTTGAGTATGAAAGGAGGTCAAATATTAAATATATGAAAATGTCGATAATGACTTCAAAGTTATTTATTGTCGAAAACTAAAAAAATTAAATTGAAAGTCCAAAACAATTTTAAAGATGATATGTAATAGGATTGGTTTACTTTGTTGGAGAAATTTGTATATGTTTGTTATTTATTCGCATAATATATTTTTAATCCTAAATAATAGAACTTCAGACATAGTTCAAATATGGAACAATTTAATAAGTAAAATATTAATAGATTTCAAAGTCTTAAATATTAGGAAAGTTCATTAAATTATAATTTTATCCAATACAAAATCGATTTTTAAAGGGCAAAAAAGACAAACGATATTTCGTTAAGCGCCTTTAATAGTAATTGATAAGTCATGGGTATAAATTAACGTTCATCCCTAGAACCTCTTTTGTTTTTTCTTTTAAAATTACTAACAAGGATACTTCATATATTTGAGATTATGAGAATTTCAGCTTATTATTTTAACAGTCAAATAGCACTTTTAATACGATAACGTTGGCAGAGTTCAATATCAATCTATAACCTTTAAAAGAAATCAAAATAGCACTTTTGATATAATAATGTAGGCAGAAATTACTTTCTTCAATTTCACCCTCAATTTTATTTTCTTTTTTAAAGTTTTAAGTTTTATAAGTTGATAGTGTAATTTTTTTATACAACTAGGTTACTTAAGAACTAACTATAAATAATTGTTTATTGTAAGCATGACTCAATAACCTCAGAAAGAGGATACATAACCTGCTACAACTAATTATTATACATTGGTAATGTAAAAGATTTGAATACTATTGGTGTAGACTTAAATCCTTTGAATCAGAATGTCTGTAAAGAAATATTTCAATTCTTTAAAGAGGAAAAAAAAAATACAGTTCTAGCTTCACTCACTTATTGCCCAACTATTTCATACCATGTCGTTTTTCCTGTTAATTTTGCAGGTATTGGCCCATAACATAAATGAAAAAAGAAAGTAAAGAAAAAATGATTATTACTTAAGAAAGGAGTCTTAATTAATTTGAGCTTAAGGAGTTGTTGTGCACATTAATGTAATAAAATACTTAATCACAATTCTAGTCCGACATCCTATCCTATGAACCAAACAAATGATAATATTATCCAATTATTTAATTCTTAGCCCTCTTCCCAATCCCATACTCTGCCCACAAACTCTAACCACTCTAACATCTCAACTTTTTTCATTCATATATAATGATTTAATTGGTTAGGTCAAAATTCCAAAATTGACAACTATATATGAATCAATTATATGATAGAACATTATTCAATCCCATCTACAATCTCATTGCTGTAATCATTTGCAGTTTCATTTTGCAACTCGACAATATTATAATTCACAATTATATCTAAAAAGTCAACGAATGTGGGCTACGCATAAAAAGTCCTCTTTTATTTAAACGTAGGTACTTTTGACTACATAATTGGTTTTCCAACTAAACATTCGCTTGAATAGGTTGAGGTTGTTGGCTCCAGGAGATGGGAATAATATGGAGGAATGAATAATGATTGTAATAATTCTTCTTTTCTGTTTTCCTTCAAAATAATGGATTATCTTCTATAACTATAGCTTCTTTATCTTCTTGTAAAAATTCCTTATGGAAATAGTTCGTATAGAAAATATTCTTTAAAACTGTTGTTTTACATCACATTATTTTTCATTTTTCCGAGGATGGTGTTTAGACTAACTTGCGTACACCTCCATTAATTTTTATCAAAGATCGGCTATCTTCCACCAGCACAGGTACTGAATAACTCTACCCACCAAGACAGTGTAAATACATAATTTGCCTATTAACCACGTGGAAAATGGAAGATTTAAGGGTATAAAATTCGGCGACAAATTTTTAAAAATGAATTGAACGCGGTAACAAGGAAAGGATTCATGAAAAGGGACTAAGCAGTCACAAGTGTTGAATGCTGCAACGATACTGTCTTTGTACCTCAAAGAATGTATTATTTACAGAAATAAAACACCTTAACCGGACAGCACCAATCTTTGTGAATTTAACATGATTAAGCAATGAATTGCAGTAAAAATACATAATAATTAATCGTGATTGAGTATATAAACCTTATTTAAGGACACATCCCAAGCACTTAACGATTAGGTACGTAAAATATTTTAGTATATGGAGTCAAATAGTTTTTAAATCCTATTATGCCAAATCATCCAAAACAACAACAACAACCCAGTATAATCCCACTAGTAGAGTCTGGAGAGGGTAGTGTGTACACGGACCTTACCCCTATCCTGGGGTAGAGAGGCTGTTTCCGATAGACCATCAGCTCCCCCCCTCCAAGAACTCTCCACCTTGCTCTTGGGGTGATCGAACTCACATGTTCTTGATTGGAAGTGGATGGTGTTCACCGCTAGAGCAACTCCCTTTTGATCCCAAATCATCCAAAAAAATCCTTTTATTTTTATAGCATACTAGAATAGTACAGGGACGCAGCGGCGGGCTAGCTTGTGTTTTCAACCAAATCGAATGTTGCAACGGGGGACCACACCACCTCTCTGTTCTTTTCTTCATAGAATAGATCCTTCTCTTTCAAGGACCACCTCAAAAACACACTCATATATCCACACCCCTATCTATCTACTCCTATATTAAAGATATCTAGTGAATTGGAAAAGCAGCTGACAAAAGTCAAAACATGTGTATAAAACAAAATCTAATGTACTATAACAATTAATTAATATGATCAGCTAAAAATTTTAAACAGTAAGTCAAAAAAGAAATGTACTTTGAGATAATGCATGCCGAAAGTTACGCTCTTTTGTTTTGTGTATGCACGTGTGCATGGAATAAACTTTTATCAGGACAAAGCATCCAGTTTAGTTGCACCAAACTTAATTACAATTAGTTTGCATTGAATAAACTTTTCTGCGACAGAGCATCGAAGTTTAGTTGCACCAAAGCCACTAGTTCCTGAAAAATTCCTTATTCAGTTCCAATTCACTAGAAAGCGGCGGGTAGCCATTATTGAAAGCGATTGTTGAACTTGAATATAGACTAAACTGTGTAAATATTTAATTTCAAATTTCATAACCACCAACTGCTTTATGCCATGGAATTAAAGATTCTGCAATGGTGCTTCACTGTTGTGGCCTCAAAAGTGTTGAATTGAGAAGAAAACAAATACTAGAGTAATTAGTAGGCATCAAAAGGCAGAGTTCTTGCCAAAAAGTGACATTTCTATTTTTCTCTATGAGGAAATGGAATGTTGCATCACACGAATTGCTGATGAAAGGTTTCACCTTAATCTTATGGTCTTAAAAACATGATTTAAGTATCTTTTATGCATCCTCAAGAGATAATAATCTCATCTAGCATAAAGAAGAGGCCACAAACAGATTACACAGAAAAAATTATCCTTTTGATAACATTTTCTGCTTAAACATCAGTATATACTGTGATAGTCATCAGCAAACAGAGGATGACTACAGAAAAACAGTGTTGTTTCCACAAAATAGTTCTATACAATTGAGCAGTTGATGCAGCAAAGAAATTAAAATGACACTTACAAAATATACAGACATCTACCATTTCTTATTCTGTCTTTGCCTCTTGACTTGTCGGCAAAGCCATTCTTGTATCGGCTGAATCTCCTCAAAAGCTTTCAGGTATCATATTAACACTGCAACAATTAAGCATGAATTATGAAAGGGTCAAAAACAAAACAACAATGTTTTACATGGTTCAAACACAGAGTTTCCGAAGCCTAAATCAAACAGATATGTTGATTTACCTGCAAAGGCATTTCGAATTCCAAAACATGATAGAAAAGAAAGAAGCATTTAATATTCAATTGGACATGGCTACACACCTTGCAGCTTTCTTGATACTCATGTGGTCGTAAAACAACGGAAGATATCATTCTCCTGCTTCGCTTGGTCAGAATGTTTCAGCTGCTCCACTCTTTGCAGGTGTGATGACAACTGAACTAAATCCACGGTTGGTCCATCTTCTGGAGAAAGGTCATTCTTAGAATTCATAGAATATGATCTTCGAACACGTCTTTCTCTTAGATCATCAGTTGAAACAGCCTGACTGTCATCAAGAACTTGGACGATCCTATCTGTTCCAATTACTTCACATGAATATAATTCATTTGATGAAAAGCTTCTCGAAGCACTTAATTCGCAAAAGTCCTCAGGATTATGATCTCTTTTAAGGTGAGCACAATAATTTTCTAAGTTGTGTAAATGGTGTTGTGAGTGGGCTGACAGAAGAGAGAGAGCACAAGCGGAGTTTTGCCCAGACGATAATTCTTCAACCGACAATGTTGCTCCAAGATGAATCTTCGATGAATTTTCTTTTCTCGTACCATGATGATGCTGGAGGCTTTTACTTGGTGACTGCTTCTTTGTCACTGCCATGGCTAATTGAGAGATGCAGATTGGCTTCTCTTCCATTTTGATGTGCTTGCTATGGTCTTCAAATCTTTCTTGACAAAAGGAACTGCCAAGACGTATTTCAGGGAAAAGAAATGGCGCTCTCCTTTGTGAAGTCATATCCAATAACCTTGAATCTGCCATTAGCACATACTAGGACTCAATAAAATAGAAAATATTTTGTCTACAAAGCATATAAACATGGCAGTGCCGGAGGCTAAGAGAAGAGTTAGCATTTAACCGCTGTGACTAGAAAATCAAAGTTGCAAAACGTAAGTTAGTATATGTACCACCAATAGGTAAATAAGATAGATTTGCAACATACTTGGTAAATAAATTTTTTTTTTTTTTGCTTGCAAAAAAGAAAAGTTTCTAGATATACACAAAAGGAATAAACTCGACTAGGAATTACAGTATTATCAAGCCCTCAAACTAAAATATAGTTGGAAAAAAGAAAAAGGAGGTTTTTAATTCATTCTTTTGGAGGAGAAACAGGGAGAGGGTGGGAGGACAGAGGATGACAATTGTTGTTATAGAATCAAATTGATGGAACTTAAAGACTAATGTACTTAGACTACTCCTCAGTTCAACAGCATTCAACAAAGTCGAGAATGGTTAAAACTTAAAAGAGAAGAGAGAATTAAGCTTACCCCAGTGTGTATCAAATTGAGGCTTTCTTCTGCGCTCATTATGGCCTGCAAGGCGTTTGCGACAACTGCGTTTACCTTCATCAAATTCTGCAAGCAAGTGAAACCTGCATTAAAAAAAGTCACAAAAGTCTAAGCTGGAGTAGCAGCCACAACAATCATACTACATCATAACCACTAAATTCTGACATTTCAGATAGCATGAATAGAAATTAGCTACAAGAATAGCTGAAGTCAAGATCCATACTTTCACTAAACCAAAGAGAGTAGCTCTACTTAAGGATGACTCAGATAATAAATGTATCTGGAGAGCTCCAAAAATGAAAAGCTGCAAACGTCTAAATTCCTTCACCTTACTGCAGCTTTTATTCATTTCATTCAAAGTCAAGTTTATAGAAAAAGTTGGACTCAAGTTAAAGTTAAGATGGAAAATTTAAGTAATTGAAGAGGAATTCTCACATTTGGGCTGGTCAAAATCTGTTCTAAAAGTTCTGATGCTAAAACTTTATTAAAGATGGATACAAGAGTACTAGTTCTATGTGATATACTTCGTATCTTTCTCCAAGAGACATTTTTATACAAAAGATCTTCCCCTTGATTTGGTAAGCCTAATCATACAAATACTAGAAAACTGGTAACTAATTTCCCCAACTCAAACCCAATAATATTTATGAATCCGCATAACAAAATGTAGTTATATTATAATTTTGTCAAATGATCAGAAATAAAGGACAATGACCACGCAACTAATGCTTTCCAACCTAATGAGATTTTACAACAAAACAGAAAAAGCAGAAGACAAGCCAGACTATACCTGCTACATTGCTGACAAAACCTTTGCTCAATACCATTAACGATAACCTTAGCAAATTTTGAGTGTTCATCACACACTTTGTGCCTTTTGTGATAGTCTTTTGAGGAGCTCAGGTCCTTGTTACAACCATAAACTTGGCACAGAGGAACCTGGGAATGCACATTTGTAGTCCGCGATCTTTTTCCTAGCAGTAATGGTTCCAGTGAAGACAAAGCTGAGTTTTCCATTAAAGACGAATTACTCTTGACTTCTCTATAAACAATTGTCTCCTCCTTCCTATGATCACGAACTTGACAAATAGGAGAATGTGAATAGTCTTTTTCCGTTGGCAATACTGAAATTCCATTTGAAGATTGACTACTCCTGACTTCTCCATGCTCAATCGACTGCTCCAATTTCAATCCAATTGGCAATGATATTGGATCATTAGACCTTTTAGCCATATGATTAAATCTCTCTTCAAGTTCCACTTCTCCCAAAATTGGGTCCAAAGTTATTACAGAAGTGGACAACATATTTCTAGAAGCATCAACTGTTTCAGCACCTAAACCTCCTAACCATTGTTTGCTGGAGGCGCATTTCTCCAAAATATCAACGATACCAGATTCCGGGAAATCTGTATTTACAGTTATTTCTTGAATAGTGCCAAATATGCTTCTATCAACATTAGAAAAGGGGTTTTTTAAATTCCAATCTTTTACAATATTTCTCTTTGCAAGTGCACCAACTGGCATTTCAATATTATCAGGAAACAGAATACCTCTTCCTTCCAAAGCATAGTCCATTGGTTCAATTTCTAGCAGAAACAAAAGTTGCTCAAAGTATGCAGTGAATTTTTCACCAAAAGCAGAATCCAAATTGACTTCGGAATATGCTAATAACAAAGTGATAAAAAAGCATCAGTAAAAAAATAAAAGTTCATATCTTGGAATTATTCATCCAAACAAAAAGTTCATATCTTGAAATTAAGACCTTAAAAGTAACCCCAAAAAAAAAAATCACATTTGAAAAGTCAAGAAAAAAGGCTATTGCTTTCATGCAACATAAGCCAATTAATTACCTTAAAAGAAAAGAGAAAATATAAGAACTAGAGAACCAGGGAATCAAATTAGAACATCAAAAAAAGATAATAAAGTTTGAAGGTAAGTTGCATCCAGATTACAGGAATTCCATATTTGCTTCACCTATCAAGCTTTTGAATACCAAGAAACAGGCGTAGACCAACATGGAACCTAAATCTTACTGTACAAAGGGATTAAAAATCAAGAAAGAACCCCATTTAGATAATCTAACATGGAACAATTATCTAACCCTATAAATGCTAGAGAAACAAATGCTAAAGTTAATCAACTTATTTTGAGGGATGACTGAAGATTGTCTTGAGCTTACCTGAGGAAGATTGGAAGAAAGAGAGACAGAAGTGCTTGTTTTGGTGCTTTGCAAGTAGGCATTATATTATTGCAATTGTTGAAGCTGATACCTTTGTGAGTCGAACATAACATATTTCACATACCTTTTTGTATTCTTCCCGTTCACTCTTACTTTTTTCCCTTTTCTTTTTCTAACTATTAATCTAATTAAATTGTATTTAAGTTACCTACACTAGTAGTATAATAAAGGTTTTACATCATCATTATAAATTAACATTTTATTAATCAATATTATAAATAAAATTACCAACTAAATAACTTGATTGTATAAATGTTATTTATACGATTAATATAAAAAATTTAAACTCACATAACATATACCTGAATATTGTAAAAATGCATCATTTCGATTTAAATGGCGTTATTTGCATGGTCATTTTTTTTGGGCACATGAATTGTCACGTATTCAAATTGTTATATTATTTAGTGATAATTCAAAAATATTAAAATCATAATTAAAAAGTTAATTTGATATATAGGGATATCACTTGAAGTTAAGAGTTGAAACAATTAATGAATTTGAATTCATTAAAGTTGAGAAAGTAGTATAATAAGTAGGGGTGGCAAGTGGGCCGGTCCCGGGCTTAAACGGACTGAGTGTGCCTGTCCAAACGGGCCCGGTCCCCGGTTGGTCCCAAAATAAATGGGCCAAATGGTCTTTTTGTAGGGACTCGCCCGGGACCGGGACCGTTTGGTCCTGAGCTAAACGGTCCCGGCCCGCGAGCTAAATGGGCCCAATAGGTTTTTTTTTAAAAAAAATTAAATAGAAATTAGAGACAAAAGGATGTTAAAAAAAATATCTAAGGCAATGCTTTGTAAATTTTATTATAGAATTGTGAGCTAAATTTTTTAATTCAAATTTAAAGTCTAAAGACAAAACTATTATAAAGAGATATTCAAAGCAATGCCTTGTAATTTTATTATAGCATTAAAAAAATATGGCAATATCTTTCTTAGTATTCATCCCCTTATGGAAATGAGCACAACAAGGTGCTTATACTACCATTGAGAAGAAAAAGTAACTAATCAAGATGTACCAAAATACAAGTTACATAATACATACTAATTTTTGTTCATACAAGTTACACGGTATCTCTTACAAACTTCATAAATCCATCAAAGTCTGGAGGAATTTTCGTTGGTGGTGGCGGAAAAGTAGCTTGGTCATCGCTACTTCCGGAAAAAGCAACATCCTCCGCAAGTTCAGCTAGCATTTCTTCGTAAGCTTCATCTTCAGCTGGTTGTGATTCAGCAAGTCCAAAATTTCTTCTTTCCGACCGGATCCAGTCTCTGAAAAATACTGATTTTTCCAAGCTCTCCCTCATAGACGCTCGATAATCACTTAATTGAAATCTTGCTTGACTGAAAGCGCTCTCCGGTGCCATTGTTGAAGGTTGAATAGTTAAAATGTCTCGGGCCATTCTTGAAAGAACCGGAAAGTATTTTTCTTTGTCCTTCTACCATTCCAAAAGATTAAAGGAGTCGTCGGTATTCACTTCTTCAATTCCTTACGACAAATAAACTTCAAACTCATTAATAAAGTAAAAGAAAATAAATAAAAGAAATAAAACTATAATATTAAAACAGAGTTGGAACGAGTTTACTGAATTGACAAACAACTTGTTAAAAATTAATTATCGTTGAAGACTTAAAGACTTCAATTTACCAACTTCACAATTTTTTCACAAATTGGAACAATAAAGTAAGCAATAGTAGCAATTATAGAAGAAAATTAGAGAGAGATTGTGATAGATTGATGATTTTGTAAAAAAAAAATGAAAGAATGAGGGGGGTATTTATAGTTAAAAATAGGGAAAAAGTGTAATTATAAAAAGTTGGGGTTAAAACAAAGTTGGGGGGTTAAATGGCGGCTATTTTTGACAGCCCAACGACTACTTTTTAAATTTAAAAAAAAATCTTTTTTTAAAAAAATAAAAGTTGACAGTTGGGACCGTTTGACCCGCGGGGGACCGGTCCGGTCCCGGTCCCTGACGGGCCCAAAGTATAGGTCCGGCTCACGAGACTGGCTCAGATCCACTAAAATCGATCCTAACGGTCCTGGCCCATTTGGACCGCGGTCCTGGGCCTGAACCGGCCTACTTGCTGGCCTTAACAATAAGAGATATCAAACATTTTGATAGGTCCCAAAACATAAAAGAGTATCATACGTTATTAACACGAAGAAAGTAGAAATTGTTTGTTGGGATAAAGAACCTTCACCTAAATAAAATAGAGTGAGGGCTTAAGGTATGAAACATTACTAACTAATGGTAATTAGGACTTAGGAGTGTCTAATCACTACTTATTTGACGAAATTGATAATTACTGTTGCCTTTGACATTAATCAATCCCCAATCATATGCCACGATTATTTTTTTATTTCTTCTGCATGCAAAATCAATCGGGCCCTCAAAAGTTATTTAGGAGGAACAGAAAATATATAAGATGCACCTTATATCTTTCTCGAAATATCAGTTTTATACTCAACTTTTACCATCCTATTTTTATCTAGAGTGAAATTAATAGCGTGGGGAGATGAAAAATATTAAAAGCTGTTTAATTTTACAGGTGTCAATTTTCTATTGATTGTTAAATTTAATTACACTTAATTAGTTATTTAATACAATGCTAACTCTTTTTATATTTCTTTCCTTGTTCTTTTCTATATTTCTCTTTCCAGCATTGCCGCAAGAGAAGACCATCATACAAACACCCATCCTACTATTTTAAAAGAGCCATCACCTAAAAGTTTATTTGTTGACCTAATTGATCCGTCACAGAAAAGTCATCTTCAATGATAATAGTCTTGGGGCATATACTATTAATCACGCGTTTGGATATAGTCAGAGGCGAGCCCAGGATTTGAGCATAACGGGGGCACCATTATTTTTAGTATCAGAATCATCAGAGATGAAGTTCGAGTGCAACTCTTTGAAATGACTATGATAATTTATTATCAAAATAAAAACATCAATATTATCAAATACCATTAACTTGATACTAATATAACAAAAGTACATTGTCCACTCATAGTTGAACTCGACGCGCTTTCATATTTTGAAAATGGTCAATAATAACATCATTGCTTATATTTACAAATACTTCCTTCTCAAAGTAACAAACTAAACAATCATTTAAAAATGCATCACTAATACTACTACGCAATTCATCTTTGATGTACTTCATGGATGAGAATGCTCTTTCTACCGTTGCAGTTGCGACAGGTAAAATTCAAGTCAACTTCACAAGCAAATAAATAAGTGAATAAGTCTCCACAAGATTTGCCTCAACCAATGCTTTTGCCAAATCACCAATTCCTTTCAAATCAGAGAACCTAGGGTCACCATGTTGCATGTGCCATATGAAAGTGTCAAGTTGGCGACTAAGATCTCGAAGCTTCAATTCACCAAACTCATCGGGATAATGCTTGGCCAATGTCATTATTCTTTCCTTATCAAAATTAGCAAATGAGTTAGCCGGATTCAAGCTAGCCATACCAAGAAGCAAGTTACTACTCACAACATCAAAACGACTATTAAGCTCCAGAAGTTGCAAACCAATCACTGCATAAAAAAGCTCAACACGTAAGTGATGTGAATAAGTAACACTAGAAGGCCTACGCTTCGACGTTCCAGGAATATAGAATTCTTCCATCTTGGGCACCAAAATATCATGTTTTGCACAAAATGAAGATACTTCATCCATCAATGGTTCCCATCCTTCATCTCTCATTTCTTGCAACCTTTCCTTTGTGATATCAAGAAATACCATGGCATTTATAATATCTTGCTCTTTCTTCTGCAAAGCTTTGCTCAACTCGTTTGACATTATCAACACTTTCAACATTAAGTGAAGTAAGAAAACAAATTCAAATGCTTTAATATTACTCGAAAAAGCTTCTGCTTGCAACATATCATTAACATCACCTTCACATTCAATCACCCCAAGCACATGAACAATAGAAGAAAATAAAATAACAAAGTTATCCAATATTTTACAATGTGATCCCCAGCGAGTATCACCGGGCCTTTGAAGCCCTCGCTCTTGATTTAATCTTTTCCCAGTTTGAACTTCACTACTCTCTAGCAATTGCTCCAACAATTCTGCTTGATGTTCCCGAAGTTGATCTCTACGCTTAAAAGAAACTCCAATCACATTCAACACGTTAGTAACAATAGCAAAGAAAGTCTCTACCTCCTTGTGTTTTTTAGCAATAGCTATAAGCGTCAACTATAATTGATGAGCAAAACAATAAACGGAATATGTCGATGGAGTTTCTTGCAAAATTAAAGCTTTAAGACCATTCATCGTTCCCTGCATATTACTAGCCCCATCATAGCCTTGTCCACGTATTTTAGATGGACTTAATGAGTGTTTCATTAGCAAATAAAGTACTGCTTCTTTCAATGATTTTGCAGATGTATCACTAACACGAACAAGACCAATAAATGGCTCGTTCACTTGGCCTTTTTTGTCAACATACCGCAAAGCAAGGGCCATTTATTCATGGTGTGAAATATCCTTGGACTCATCAACTAATATCCCAAAATAATATCCATCTAGGTCATCAATTATAGCTTTCACGGTCTCTTGTGCACAAGTACTCACAATATCCTTTTGAATTTTTGGTGAAGTCATCATATCATTTTTTGGAGCATGTTTTAATATAACTCTATCTACATCTGGAAGCCTATTTCCAAGCCATTCCAAAATCCCTATAAAAAGGCCTTTATTTTTTGAAGATTCACTTTCATCGTGACCTCGACAATCCAAAGTCCAAGAGAAACCTTGCAACATCGATTGAGGCATTTAAACGAATTCGATATTCACTTTTTTGTTTCTCAGATTGCTTTTCAAAAGCAACTTGAATTGATTGAGATTGATTTGAAAAGTCTAGCATTTTATTGAAACACTTATGGTGGAGGATATTTAATTCACCAATATGTAGACCAAGTCTTTCAGGTCTTTTATTCCAAGCCTTAAAGTCGGTTTTTGTGAAAGAGTCACTCGTGCTACCATGAACATAATCATTTTTGAATAAATAACAAAATAAACAAAATGAGGCATTTTTCTCCACATTATACTCTAACCATCTAGAATGTGAATTTTTAAACCAACCCGGACTAAATTGGCGTATTTTTTCCCAAATAAAGTTTTAGGAAATTTGTGATAAACTGGTTGGCAAGTCCCTCTTTTGATGTAGTGTCTTCTCACTTCATCCCGTATTTTGGAGTTATATCTATCAATGGGTATTCTCTCTCCAGGGTTAGGATTAAGTGATTTCACATCAAACTCCTCTACAAGATGGGAGGAATTGTCTCTAAAACTAGAACTTGGTTGAGAAGAATTAAACCTCGTCAAAAATATGTCCATCTCAATTCACATCAACAAAACTTCCTACAAAGCAACAATGCCAAGCAAAACAACATTTTTAATATGATTAATCACACTCCTTATATTAATACTAGAATAGAAATAATATATAATAGAGGAATCACACCCCTTATATCAAGAACAAAGCAAAGAGAATATCTCTAATAGGGGAATCATGCTCCTTCCATCAGGAATAAAGCAAAAAAATATTTTTAATAGGGCAATCACACCCCTTCCATCGAGATTAAAGCAAAGAAAATATTTCTAGTAGGGGAATCACACCCCTTTTATCACGAACAAAAGCAAATATAATATTTCTAATAGGGGAATCACACCCCTATATTATATTATAAGTCATAACTCATAACTATATTATTATTATTATTATTATCTTAAAGATAGAAGGAACACTTACCAATTTGTGAAAGGTATCCTTGAAATCCAAATACAGTTTGGTTTCAAATCATCCACTTCACTGAAATAATATTTCAAATAGTATTAGCACAAAATCTTCAAATATCTATGAAATTAATTTATTAAGATAAAAGAATTAGCACACCAACTAAAGATTAAACATCATGTAAATTTGCACCATGATTGTTGTCTGCTCAAACGATGAATTCAAAAACTAAAAGAACAGTAGCGAATTCAAAAACTAAAATAACTATCCTTGAAATCTGAATGGCGAATACAATTTGGTTTATTGCAACTTGCAAGCATTATCTACTATATTAAAGAATTTCAGAAAATTAAGCAAACAAAAAGAGGAATTTACAGGAGCACTTCACTCATCAATTATTTGTTCAAAATAAGTGCTACTAATTGGATTTGCATTTGATGGTGTTAGTGAAAAGGGATATTTTGAATGAGAAAGAAAGTAAATATGTTCATTAGTCATAACTCATAACCAATCTAGGTCAAAATCACAAATATAAAAAATAATATTTGTAAAAGAAGAAAAACTTACTCAAATAATCAAAGATTTGAAGAAGAGTCTCCCTCACGAAGTGAAGACTGGTATTTACAAGACTGGTATGAAATAAATGACACATCCGTCTGAAATATACATGAACAGATTAAAATTCTAAAGCTACCAAGGTCGAGAGGCATCTATGACCAAAACGCAAGTACGTCCTCAGATCCAGCTCCCGTCGTGCACAGCAACATCAGCATCCAACATCTGCACGCAAGGTGCAGAAGTATAGTATGAGTACAACCGACCTCATGTACTCAATAAGTAACAAACCTAACCTTAGGTCGAAAGTAGAGACGAGATGGAACATGGGTCAAAGTCCAACACCAATAGCCAACAACAACTCGTAACAATATAATAAAAGTGATACATGAAATAAATCAGAAATATAATGTTTAGCTCATTCACAGTTCCATAAAAATAGACATGCTTTTCAAGTATACTAGTGAAATCCCAAATCTTTTACTAAAAGTACTAAAATATTAGTAAGTTTGTAAAATCGTGATTTTCTTTCCAAAACGTTTCAACAGGTAAATGTTTTATTACCCAATGGCATGAGAAAAAGTACATCTTATGCTTGTATGTCAAGTGTGCACGTCGAATGCAGTACAACATAGTAAACAACCATATGCATACTCTCAAAGTATCAATCCACTCATTTCTCCCAATCACCCATCACTCGCACTCGCACTTAATAGGTACCGGTGCTCAGTGTGGGTGTGCAAACTCCGGAGGGGCTCCTTCAGGCCAAGCGCTATAATCCGCACGGACAACTCACGTGATGCATGGATAACTCACGTGCTATAGTAGAAATGTCTGGATTTGCATGGACAAATCACGTGCTGCACAGACAACTCACGTGCTATAGTATCAATAACCTCACAATTCGGCCCTCGGCCTCACTCAGTCATCAATCTCTCCAGTCTCTCGGGCTCACTATGTCATGAAACTAGCCCAAAAATGACGATATGATGTGTCAGTATATAAAAACGGAGACTGAGATATGATATGAAATAAATGCAAATGATTGAGTATGAAATTGCAATGTAAGCAAATAACTCAATAGCAGGAATGATCTCAGTGGGTCCCAACAGAATAAGCATGTAGCCTAGACATGGTTTCTAACATGGTTCAATACTCATTAGCTCTAGTACGTAGAGATTTCATGGTTACAGATAAGATCTTGTAACTACACAGTACCACAGAAATAATGGAGTCACAATTCACGTGGTACATGCCCACACGCCCGTCACCTAGCATGTGTGTCACCTCAATACCAAACACATAACATGTATAATCAGGGTTCATACCCTCAACTCGAAGTTTAAAAGTGCTGGTTACCTCGAACAAGCCAATTCCAATACCGAGCAAGCCAAGCGATGCTCCAAGAATTCCATCACGCACGTACCGACCTCCGAACAACTCGAAACTAATCAAAAGTAACTCAAATACATCAATTAGTGCCAAAGGAGATAGCCCAATCGACAAAGATTGAATCTTTAATCAAAAGTCCAAAATCAACCAAAAATTCCAAACCCGGGCCGGCACCTCGGAACCCAATAAAACTTACAAAATCTGACAATCCATTCAATTACGAGTCTAACCATACTAGTTTCACCCAAATCCGACTCCGAATCGATATTCAAAACTCAAATATTCATTCTATGAAACTTTAGACAAAACCCTTCAAATTTCTCTTTAAAATCCATAATCTATTTACCAAAAATGAAGATAAAATCACAGAATATAATCAAAATCGAGTGTAGAACACTTACGCCAATCCTTGTGATGAAACTCGCTTCAAAATCATCTCAATCCGAGTCCCACATCTCGAAAAAATGATAAAAGAACCAAAACCTCGATTTATAGCATTCTACTCGGCATTTCTGCTTCTGCGGACACAAGAGCCGCTTCTGCGACACGAGCTCCACTAATGCGAACTCCACTAGCCAGCCAGCCCCTCGCATATGCAAATCTCCATCCGCTTCTGCGAAACCGCAGGTGCGAAGCCAAACGCGCTTCTGCGCTCTATCTCGCTTCTGCGCCCAAGACCATCGTTTCTGCGGAGCTACAGATACGCCCCAATTTCCACTTCTGCGATCTTCCTCACCAAGCTATCCCTCGCTTCTGCGACCAATTGTCCGCATCTCCGGACTCGCATCTGCATACATTCTTCCGCAGATGCGGAAGCACCAGAACCAGTATGCCTTCAGCAATGCAACATGAAACGAAAATGATCTGAACCTCGTCCAAAACTCACTCGGGCCACTTGGGCCATTCGGGACCCGTCCAAATATACCAACAAGTTCCATGACACAACACGGACCTACTCGAGGCCTCAAATCACACATAACGACATCGAAATGACGAATCGCACCTCCAATCGACTTAAATGAACTTTGAACTTTCAACTTCCGAAACTTGCGCCGAAACATATCAAATCAACCCGGAATGATCCCAAATTTTGCACACAAGTACCAAATGACATAACGAAACTATTCAAATTCCCAGAACCAAAATCCAAACCCGATATCCTCAAAGTCAACTTCCAGCCAAACTTATGAACTTTCCAAACCTTCAAATTTTGACCTTTGCCATTTAGTGTCGAATCTTTCTAGAAATATCCAAATGCAAATTCGGGCATATGCCCGAGTCCAAAATTGCCATCCGGGCCTAACAGAACCAACAAAACTCCTTTACGAGGTTAAATTCACAAAAGTCGAACTTGGTTAGCTCTTCTAACTTAAAGCTTAAACCATGAAATTTATTCTTCCCAATCGATTTTGAATAACCTGAAAACCAAAACTGACGATTTGCATAAGTCATAATACATCATACGGAGCTACTCATGCCCTCAAACTACCGAGGGAAGTGCAAATGCTCGAAATGACCAGTCGGGTCGTTACATCCTCCCTCACTTAAACATACGTTCATCCTCGAACGTGCCAAGAGTTGTTCTAAATCCATCAAACCGCCGTGTAACCTTACCATGCACATACCCGGGGTTGATCCCACGTCACCCTATTCCATATAAGCCCGACAACACAACATACTGAAGATCATTACTTTAACCTTAGCCCTTAAATCACATAATTCAATTTCCAACATCTGAAACTTCTTATAAGATCTAAATCTCGCACCTACACACTGTATA